ACTTTTATGGACGCTACTGTGCAACTCGTTCAATCAATTAACTTCCCTACTGAAAAGATAGTTGACTCAGAAAGAAGAGACGTCACCACCACGCTACTGAGAATGCTGTTACATTCGTCGCACCTTGCTCAGTGAGGGTCCAGTGTTCTGTTGTCTCCTCTGTGGTCGTCATGGAGATCCTGTTTCAAGCCACCAAACTTGTTTGTTTCTTTCGTCCATTCAGATTCAGAATGTTGATCAAAACAGGACGTGTCTGAGTCTGAGTCCGTCAATGTCTCCACAGCTTGTGCAACCATATACTTTGAGTTTACAACATGCTACATTTCTATTTCAGCTGATGTGTAACAGCGCCCCCTATCTTATTACAGTGAACACACAGATTAATGGAATATCTCGTCAGTGGCGGGGAAAGTTAATAATTTATATGATAAAATAATCAATACTTGGCTCTATGTGATGACTGTCTGATTGGCTGTCTGTCTCTGTGATGTCACTCAGTGTCAGTGTTGTCGTCTGATTGGCTGTCTGTCTCTGTGATGTTACTCAGTGTCAGTGGTGTTGTCTGATTGGCTGTCTGTCTCTTTGCAGGATGTTTGACGACCTGACTGACGCTTTCTGTAGTCTGGAGCCTCAGGTGTCTCCAGGAGGCGGAGCATGTCGGAGGGGGACGGGCCTGGAAGAAGGAGAGGGGGCGGAGTCCAGCCTGAGTGTTGGACAGTTCGTCCTCTGTCATTGGTCAGATGGACTGTACTACCTGGGCAAGATACAGAGGGTAACACACACTAAGCACACACTAAGCACACACACACACACACTAAGCACACATATGTACAGTCTCTGATTGGTTGGTGTAAATCTCTGTGCTGTGATTGGTGGACAGGTGAGCCCGCCCAGACAGAGCTGCTTTGTCACGTTTGAGGACAACTCCAAGTTCTGGGTCCTCTGGAAGGACATCCAGCATGGTGAGAGACAGAGAGACGGGGACAGAGAGAGAGAGACAGGAGGACAGAGACAGGTGGACAGAGGCAGACAAGGGAACAGAGAGACAGACAGGGGGACAGAGACAGGTGGACTCAGACAGACAGGAGGAAAGAGACAGATGGGGACAGAGAGAGACATGGGAACAGAGAGAGACAGGAGGACAGAGACAGGTGGACTCACATAGACAGGAAGAAAGAGACAGACAGGAGGACAGAGAGACAGAATGGGGGACAGAGACAGACAGGTAAACATTGATGTGTCTCTCAGCTGCTTCCGTCTGTGTGACGTTTCTTGCCTCTCCGTCCAATCATGTTGCAGCTGGAGTGCCGGGGGAGGAGCCTCGCTGCTCAGTGTGCAGGGAGGCGGAGCCAAACTCTGACAGCCAATCAAACCAAAACAACCAGATCCTGATCTGTGGGAAGTGTGGCATCGGTGAGTCATGACATGAGACATGCCCACAGGTTACATGAGACACACCCACTGGTTATTTGAGACATGCCCACTGGTCACATGAGACACACCCACTGGTCACATGACATGCCCACTGGTCACATGAGACACACCCACTTGTTACACAAGACATGCCCACTGGTCACACGAGACACGCCCACTGGTCACATGAGACACACCCACCGGTTATTTGAGACACTCCCACTGGTCACATGAGACACTCCCACTGGTCACATGAGACACTCCCACTGGTCACATGAGACACGCCCACTGGTCACATGAGACACGGCCACTGGTTATTTGAGACACACCCACTGGTCACATGAGACACGCCCACTGGTCACATGAGACACGCCCACTGGTCACATGAGACACACCCACTTGTTACACGAGATACGTCCTCAGGTCACACATCCTCAGGTCACACAAGGCACATCCTCAGGTCACACGAGACATGTCCTCAGGTCACACGAGACACGTCCTCAGGTCACACAAAACATCCTCAGGTCACACAAGGCACATCCTCAGGTCACACGAGACACGTCCTCAGGTCACACGAGACACGTCCTCAGGTCACACAAAACATCCTCAGGTCACATGAGACACGTCCTCAGGTCACACGAGACACATCCTCAGGTCACACAAGACACGTCCTCAGGTCACACAAGACACATCCTCCGTCACACAAGACACATCCTCAGGTCACACAAGACACGTCCTCAAGTCACATGAGACACGTCCTCAGGTCACACGAGACACGTCCTCAAGTCACATGAGACACGTCCTCAGGTCACACGAGACACGTCCTCAGGTCACATGTTCTCAGGTCACATGGGACACGTCCTCAGGTCACACGAGACACGTCCTCAGGTCACATGTTCTCAGGTCACACAAGACACGTCCTCAGGTCACATGAGACACGTCCTCAGGTCACACGAGACACGTCCTCAGGTCACATGAGACACGTCCTCAGGTCACACGAGACACATCCTCAGGTCACATGAGACACGTCCTCAGGTCACATGAGACACGTCCTCAGGTCTCACGAGACACGTCCTCAGGTCACACGAGACACATCTTCAGGTCACACAAAGCACATCCTCAGATCACATGGGGCACATCCTCAGGTCACACGAGACACGTCCTCAGGTCACATGGGGCACGCCCACAGGTCACACGAGACACGTCCTCAGGTCACACGAGACATGTCCACAGGTCACATGAGACAAGTCCACAGGTCACATGAGACAAGTCCACATGTCACATGGGGCACGCCCACAGGTCACACGAGACAAGTCCACAGTGATCAGCCGATGATGATGATGATGATGAAGACTTCTTCTGTTCATCAGTAGGTATCAGCTGATGAAGATTGTTCCTCTTACACATTAATGAACACAGGGCTTTATTATCTGTCTTTCTCTCTGTCTGTCTGTCTCTGTCTGTCTCTCTGTCTGTCTGTCGCTCAGGTTTCCACCAGCAGTGCCATGTCCCTCCTGTAGAGGGCAGTGTCGGTCTCAGTCCCTGGTTCTGTAGACGTTGTGTCTTCGCTCTGGCTGTCCGGGTACACACACACACACACACACACACACACACAGCCCAGTATAACCAGTCTGACCCATCCTGGTTGGTATGTGGAGTCCAGTCTCAGATACTAATCAGATCTGTCAGGTTCAGGTCTATGAACTCTGGTTGGTCTGGTGGTGTAGTCGTACTGTCACCAGCATTAACCAGCTGTCTGTGTGTCCTCCCCACAGAAAGGGGGCGCTCTAAAGAAAGGACCTATAGCCAAAGCTCTGTCAGCCATGAAGCAGGTGTTACTGTACGACCTGGACTCTCTGGACTGGGACTCTCAGCACCGGACCAATCAGCAGCAGTGTTTCTGTTACTGCGGAGGCCCTGGAGAGTAAGACCAACCAACCAATCAGAGACAGCGTCACTGTGACCCACTGTGACACTGACTGATGATGTCACTGTGTGTGTGTGTGTGTGTGTGTGTGTGTGTGTGTGTGTGTGTAGGTGGTACCTGAAGATGCTGCAGTGCTTCAGGTGTCAGCAGTGGTTCCATGAGGCCTGTACCCAGTGTCTGCAGGAATCCATGATGTTTGGAGACAGGTACAGATACATCTGCTCCTCTGATCCTCCTCCTCCTCTGATCCTCCTCCTCCTCCTCCTCCTCCTCCTCCTCCTCCTCCTCCTCCTATGCTGCTCCTCCTCTAATCCTCCTCCTCTTCTGATCCTCCTCCTCTTCTGATCCTCCTCTGATCCTCCTTTGATCCTTCTCCTCCTCCTCTGATCCTCCTCTGATCCTTCCTTTCCTCTGATCCTCCTCCTCCTCCTCTGATCCTCCTGTGATCCTCCTCCTCCTCTGAACCTCCTCTGATGCTCCTCCTCCTCTGATGCTCCTCCTCTGATCCTCCTCTGTATGACCTGAGACAGTGCGTGATGACCTCCTGCTGCTCCTCCTCAGGTTCTACCTCTTCCTGTGTGCGGTGTGTAATAAAGGATCAGAGTATGTCCGCCGTCTGTCTCTGAGGTGGGTAGATGTGGTCCACCTGGTCCTCTACAACCTGTCTGTCAGCAGCAAGAAGAAATACTTTGAGCTGGACGAGATCCTGGCCTTCGTCTCCGCTAACTGGGAACATCTACAGCTGGGGAAGGTACTGGACTGAACTGAACTGAACTAGACTGAGCTAAACTAGACTGAGCTAAACCAGCCTGAACCACACTGAACCGAACTGAACTGAAACAGACTGAACTGAACTGAACTGAACTAGACAGAACTAAACTGGCCTGACCCAGACTGAACTGAACTGAACTGAACTAGACTGAACTAAACCGGCCTGACCCAGACTGAACTGAACTGAACTAGACTGAATTAAACCGGCCTGACCCACACTGAACCGGACTGAACCACACTGAACCGGACTGAACTGGACTGAACCACACTGAGTCAGATCACGTGGTCCTGTTTCTAACCTGTCTGTTTACCTGTGTGTTGTTTAGCTGTCAAACACTCCTCTGACAGAGAGGGGGCAGCACCTGCTGGACGCTCTCAATAAATACAAGAGCAAGTAAGAACCACTACACCTCCACTGTTACTACACCTGCACTGTTACTACACCTGTAGTAATCGTGTGTGTGTGTGTGTGTGTGTGTGTTCAGGTTTCTGTGTGGGAAGGAGATAAAGAAGAGGAAGTGCATCTTTCGTCTGAGGACCAGAGTCCCTCCCAACCCCCCTTCGAAACTCTTTCCTGAGCGTGCTCAGAACGATGGAGGGCAGGGCCGTAAGAAAGGCGTGGTCAGGACCAGGTAGTTCTCATCATTTACGTGGTGACTGTGGCCCAATTCCAATCCGGCCCCTAAAGACTCAGGCCCTGAACCCTCACTGACTTAACTGACGTCAGCTGTAAGTGATTGAGTGCGAGAGTCTGAAAGGGCTCCGGATGCTACAAATAGGAATGGGACAGCACTTATCCCTCTCTACAAAATGTTGTTGACACTGGCGGCTCTGGGCGTGATCATTTATCGGTTATTGTCATCATATATTCCACACACAGAGAATATAT